GAATCTCGTTTTCCCTTAGGCTTCAGAGAAGCTTTTCTTAAAGGTTTTTATTCTCCAGTCTATTGGAGCCAGCCTATAATTCTATTTAATTAATTTCTTAATATTAAATAAGCATGAAGGGAGGGAAATTTTCATCACAAAGATATGGTCAAAGATTTGAAATGGCTTCCTTACATATGGTGAGGAAATAGATTGGCGCTTTGTGTTGGAAAAGAAAAAGACTTAGGATGGAAGTGTGGAGAATTGTAAGTGGTGGTGAAAAGATGAACCAGAACAGTAACAAAGGCATATCAAACGCAACTGGACAATAATTTAAAGTAAAATAGTAATTCTTCACAAAATCTAATTAGCTGTTGGCTGTCAATACTAGTTGTGTGCTCAGGCTCAAAAAGTGATTGAAGAATTCCAAGGTCTGGTTGAATATGGAAGTTAAAGACATCACCTTTTAATTTAGGAAATTCCTGGGCCTCAACTTTCATGAGTCTAGGAAAGTTGGAAAGCAGTCAGTATGACTGCTCTGTTTGCTCACTCTTGTCTACTGTTGGAAATAGCTGGACCCTGGTACAGCTGGTTTTGAATCACACCTTTTTTACTTGGTATTCCTGTTTTATGCTTTTCAGTGCATAAGCCAGCTGTGTCATGTCAAGGACATTATCAAGGACAGTTTCCACGTGTCTGAAAACCTTTCAAATATTTATTATTTTTCTGACTGTTTACAAATCACTTTAAAAGATGCTAAGTACCATTTACTATATTCAGGCTTTTGCAGCCCAAGAGGACTTGGAAAAGACCAAAGAAGAACTGAAATCTGTGATGTCTGCTCCTCCTCCACCTCCTCCCCCACCAGTTATTCCCCCAACAGAGAACGAACATGATGAGCATGATGAAAACAATGCTGAAGCCAGTGCAGAGCTGTCTTCTGACGGTGTCATGAACCACAGAAGCGAGGAAGAACGAGTGACAGAAACACAGAAAAATGAACGTGTTAAGAAACAGCTCCAGGTAATGAAGCTCCATAATTGTATCAACACAATCCAGGCCTTGGTTTTACATTCTTTTTATTAATCAAAAATCTTACTGAAATTACGGCAAGACAAGGCAACAGCCTTTTACCATTTACTAAGCTTATTACTAGTTTACCAAGCAGTATCATTCATAGTGTCCTAGAAGAGGAGTAGATAGAAAGATTGGATGTAAGACTGTGCTTTATACCTTTAAAAGTATTAACATATTGTTGCAGTGGGCAATGGACATTCCTAATAATACAGGATGTCCAGGACGCTGAATGTTTAAAACATAATGCTTTCCTTTTCTCAAAACTGAAATTCACTGAGTGGTATGAACAGATGCTTGTTTAATAGTATTTGTGTTTATTTGCAGCCATTCACAGATGCTGTGAGTGCAAAAACTGAATTATGCCCATTTTGGGTTAATCTTATTTCCCTTAAATGAAACATTTCCTCCTAGACTAGTCTTACCCCTCAAAATACAATAATCTATGTTAGTGGTAACCCTTTGCTTGGTTATGAAACGTCTGTTTGTGAAGGAAATAAAAGAAATGGAAAGCTGCTTCTTTTTGTGGCAGTATTATCTTAGTAGCGTTGTACGTGTAATATCCTTTCTGCTTGGCTAATTACTGAACAGGATCAGGGAGGTAAACAAGAGCTGTCTTTATTCAAGCAGAAACTGAAAAATAAGGTCGTTCTCCTTTATGCGGCTGGTCCCTTTCTTGTTGAATGCGATGGTATGAGGCCTTTGGGGTTTTGTTTTAGTTCAATGCCCACAGTTATGTAAAGAAGGAGTCCTGTGCTCTCCTTC